GAAATAAATAAATTGAAATTTTATTATTATTAAATGTTTTTGTTTGTTATGTTTTATTTATTTATTTTAAAGAGAGAGAAAGTGGGGGAGAGGGGTAGAAAGAGGAGAGAGAAAATCTTAAGCACACTACATGCTCAGTATGGAGCCAGACATGGGGCTTGATTCCAAGACTGGAAGATCATGACCTGAGCCGAAATCAAGAGTCAGCTTCTCAACCAACCGACCCAGAAGCCCCAGAAACTGAAATACTAATTTAAAAAAATCTTTCCAAAAATAAACTTCTTGCTCAGGTGGTTTCACTAGTGTAACTTCAAGGAAGAAACTAATCAAATCTTACACAAGTTATTTCAGGGAATAGGAAGAGGGAAGTCTCTCCCACCCTTGTTTTATTAGGATATCATAATTCTGACACCAAAACTTGACAAAGATATGACAAGAATAAAGAATTACAGAACATTATCATTCACAAACATAGATTCAGAAATCATAAAATATCAACAAATTAACTCAGCAAACTATTAAACGATGTTGTGCCATGACTAAGTAAATAAAGTTTATTCTAGAAGTGTAAGGCTGATTTAACATTCAAAAATAAGCTAATAACTTATCACATAACAAACTAAAAAAGAAAACTCTTTAGGTGATCTATAAAAGATGCATAGAAACCATTTGAGAAAATGCAGCACACATTATTTTTTTAAATTTGAGCAAGTTATGGTTCCATTACCTCCTCCTCAGGCCTAGAAACCTCTAATCTGCTTTCTACCTATAAATTTCTCTATTCTGGATATGTATAGATAAAAATGTGACCTTGTAAATCTGACTTTTTTGGTTAGAATGTTTTTGAGGTTCATATATTGTAGTATGTATCAGTATTTCATTCTTTTTTATGGCTGAATTATATTCCATTGTATTTATATTCCACAGTTTGATTATCCATTCACCTGTTCATGGGTAGTTAAACAGCTTCCATTTTTGACTAAGTGAAGTGCTCCTATGAATACTTAGGTATAAGTGTTTGAATACCTATTTCCAATTCTTTGGAGTATATACCTATGAATATGGATAGCTAGACACACACACACACACACACACACACACACACACACACACACACACATTATACTAATGGTAATTCTACTTTTTAACTTTTTGAGGAACATCCAAATTGTTTTTGCTCAGTGGCTATACCATTTTATATTCCCAGTAACAATATATGAGTGTTCCAATTTCTCTCCAACACTAGTTCTTTTCTTTTCTTTTTTTTAATTTTAGCCATCCTAATGAATGTGAACTGGTATATAATTGTGGTTTTGATTAGCATTCTCTTAATCACAATGAACATGTCTTTATCTGTTTTTTGAACATTTATGTGTCTGCTTTGGAGAAATGTTTATTCAGGTCATTTGCCTTTTTTTTCTGAGAAAGTATTTGTTTCTCTGTCTCTTTATTTTTACCTTGCATCTTTTTTATTGAAGTTTAATTAACATATGACATTATAAAAAGTTTCAGGTGTACAGCATATTGATTCAACATGACTCAGCAATCACAATAAGTGTAGTCACCATCTGTCACCAAACAACATTATTACAATACTACTGACTGTATTCTCTATACTGTAATTTTTATTTTCATGAGTAACCTATTTTAAAAATGGAATTTTGTACCTCTTAGTCCTCTTTACCTATCTATCCCATGCCACTACCCAACACCCCTCTGGCAAGTGAATTTGTTCTCTGAATTGGGGATTTGACCAAAGAAAACAAAAACACTAATTCAAAAATATATATGCACCACAAGGTTTATTGCAGCATTATTTACAATAGTCAAGGTATGGAAGCAACCCAAGTATCCATGAATAGATGAATGGATAAAGAATATGTGGTGTATATATAATCAATGGAATATTACTCATCCATAAAAGAGAGTGAGATCTTGCCATTTGACATAACATGAATGGACCTAGAGGGTAATATGCCAAATGAAATAAGTCAGAAAAAGAAATACAAGGAACTAAGATAGTGGTATAGTAAGAGGATGCTAGGCTTGCCTTGTCCCTTGAACACAGCTAGATAACTTTCAACTCATTCCAAATACTTAAGAAATAGACCTAAGGACTAATAGAACAAATAGCACAACCAGAGGGATAGAAGAGGCCAATATTCAAGAAAGATAGGAAATGTGGAGATGTGGTTTGGAGGAGAAATGGATCACTGGCACTGCACTGGGGAGAGAACCTTGGTCACAGAGAAAGGCAAGAGATTATAGAATGCACAGGGATAAGCACAAGGCAGACACTTCCCCAAAGCCTTTGGCTGGCTGGGAGAATGAGAGGAACTGAATTTTATGATTTTTTGCAACCAGTGGGGCTCAAAGACTGAGTTTTAGAGACACCCAGGCTTGGCTGAAATTAAGCTTCAGCTCCAGTGGAAATAGCATCAGGTACTTTCTAACAAGTACACCAGAGCACACCTAGATGAAACTTGCCACACTCTGACCAAGGTCAAAACATTTTCCACTGCAGGCAAGGAGAAACTCTGCAGACAACTGACCACAGCAACAGAGCAGCTAAAACACAGCAGTAGAATGCATGCAGCACACACCAGAGACATTTCATGAAGGTCCAGGACCTGGACATTGTATGACCTCTTCTTCATAAAGTCATTGTTCTCAGCATTAGAAAACATAACAGATTTTCCTAACAAACAGAAGAAGATAGAGACCTAGACAAAATGCCAAGACAGAGGAATTCATCACAAAAGAAAGAAGAAGAAAAGGTCATGGCCAAGGATCTAATTGAAACAGATAGAAGTTATATTTATGATCCAGAATTTAAAGGAACAATTATAAAAATACTAGCTGGGCTTGAGAAAAGCATGGAAAACATCAGGGAGACTCCTTATTAAAGAGACAAAAGAGCTAAAAAACAATCAGGCTGAAATGAAAAATATAATAACCAAGATTCAATGCTGACTGGATGTAATGACCTCAAGGATGGAAGAAGCAGTGCAATGAATAAGCGATATAGGGGATCAAATTTTGGAAAATAATGACAGTGAACAAAAGGAGAGAAAAGTCATGGATCATGAAAGTAGACATAAGGAACTCAGTGACTCCATAAAATGTAGTAACAGTTGTATCATAAGAGTTCCAGAAAAGAAGAGACAGAAAAGGGGGCAGAAGATGTATTTGAGGCAATCAGAGCTGAAAGGTTCTCTAATCTGGGGAAGGAAACAGACATCTAAATCCAGGATGCACAGAGAACTCCCATCAAAATCAACAAAAATAGGCCAACACCAAGACATATTGTAGTTAAATTTGAAAAATGTAGTGATAAAGAAAAAATCCTAAAAGCAGTAACCAAAAGAAGTCCCTAACTTAGAAAGGAAAACCAGTAAGGTTAGCAGCATGTATCTCCACAGAAACTTGCCAACCCAGAAGGGAAAGGCATGATATATTCAATGTGCTGCATGGAAAAAATCTGCAGCCAAGAATACCCTATCCATCTAGGAAGAGTATAGAAAGAGATGTAAAGAGCTCCCCAAACAAAAACTAAAGGAGTTTGACACCACTAAACCACCCATGAAAGAAAAGAAATACCCATAGTGACAAACACTAGAAATGAACAGAGAAAATATCCAGAAACAACAACAAAACATGTAATAAAATGGCACTAAATACATATCTGCCAGTAATTACTCTGAATTTAAATGGATTAAATGCTCCAATCAAAAGACATACAGTGTCAGAATGGATGACAAAAAATAAGACCCATCTATATGCTGCCTACAGGAGACTCATTTTAGGCCAAAAGACACCTGCAGAGTGAAAGTGAGGGGAATGGAAAAATATTTATCATGCAAATGGAGCTGAAAAGAAAGCCAGAGTAGCAAGGCTTATAGCAGACATACTAGATTTTAATATATTTTTTGAAGTTTATTTATTTTGAGAGAGAGAGAGCAAATTGAGGAGGGGCAGAGAGAGATAGAGAGAGAATCCCCAGCAGTCTCCTCACTGCCTGCACAGAGCCCAACACAGGGCTTAAACCCATGAATCGCGAGATAATGACCTGAGTGAAAACCAAGAGTCAGATGCTTAACCGACTGAGCCAACCAGACACTCCAGATATACTAGATTTTAAACCAAAGACGTTAACAAGAAATGAAGAAGGGCATTATATCATAATAAAGGAGACAAGACAACAAGAATATCTGACAATGGTAAATATCTATGCCCCCAACTTGAGACACCCAAATAGGTTTTTTAATTAATAACAAATATAAAGGGGAGAAGGAGTTAAAATGGTATAGTAGGGGGACCCAGGGTTGCCTTGTTCCTAGAACACAGCTAGATCAACATCAAATTCTTTCAAACACCTAGGATAATTGATCTGAGGATTAAGAGAACAATCTATTTAATTAGAGGGAGAGAACATGGCAGGTAAGAGGTGCAGAGATGTGAGTTGGGGGAGAGGAAAGCTGTGGTGCTGCAGAGGAGAGGGAGCCCTTTTCTTGGAGAGAAGACAGAGGAGATGGGGGAAAGATGTAAGCATGTTGGGTTCATATAAGAAAAACACTCCCCCAAAACCATTGATTAGGGAATCAAGAAGAACTGACTATCACAACTTTTTGCAAACAGTGGAGCTCAAATTTTAGATGTCCCTGCCATTCACAGGAGTTGAATAGGCAGGCAGCAGTGCTCCTGGGAAGGATGGCAGAAACCTGGGAGTGTACAGTGGACAATGTGGTGTGGAGATCCCCTTGTTCACACTGGGAGAGGATATTCTTCTTCCTGGAGTTCATTTAGAAGAATGTATATTGCTTCTCCAAAGACAAAAGACATCATTGAGCAGGCATCATTGAGTGGCCATTAAACAACAGGGGACAGAAGTTCAGAGGGCAGAAGTGCAAAGGGCAGATAACCTGGTTGCAGCTTTTTGCTGTGCTTCACCATAAATTCCAGACACCTGTACAGTCATGCAGTGACTTTTCTGGGGCAGAATGGTGCCAGGTGCAGTGCTGCAAGGCTTCCTCCAGAGGAGAGGAATAGGTCTATGCTTTGCCAGGTACTTTATGATTTGGAGGTTTGAATCCAAGCCAGGCAGCAGATATAAAACACAGGAAAAATTTGAGGACAAGGATCTAACAGAAGCATGGGACACAGGAGGGGGTGTTTGTTCACTTTACGGTGAGGGTTTCCTGAACAGTGGTGGGTGTGAGCTCCCCTTCCCAAGGATGAGAGAGCAGGGTGACACCATCTTCACTCCTGCCCACCAGTATGGTCGGAATTCAGTGAACAACAGAGTGCCCTCATTGGAGCCTGGAGTTGCTTATAGAAAACTTCACCCCCTGGCACCCCGCAGGGGCATCTTTACTAGGTCAGGCCTGACTGTGAGCCAGCACAATGAGCTTCTGCCCCAGAGGGCCAACGCAGTCTCCCTGTTTGCACCAAGTCTACTGATCATAGAGTGCACCAAAGCATCACCTTCAGTTCTGGTGGAAATTGGACCAGGCTTTCTTTCTTTTTATTTTTTTCCTTTGGAATCAGGCTTATAAGTTTTTTTGTTGTTCATTTGTCAGTTTTTTCTTTGATGAGGATTCTCTTTCTTTTTCATTGGAATCAGGCTTATAGGATTTTTTTGTCTGGTTTGTTGTTGTTGTTGCTGTTGTTGTTTCTTTTCCTTTTCTCTTTCTTTTGATTCAGTCTTTTTAATCAGGCTTATTTTAACAAACAAATAAAAGCACTCCTAGTTAAAGGTCCAAACACCCTTCCCCCACCCCCGGAAGTAAGCAAGGAGGAACTCTGTGGAGGACCCACCTGTAGGAAAGAGCAGCCAAAGCAAAACAGCAGAGTGAACACCGTATACACCAGGAAAACTTCCTGAAGGGCCAAGTCCTGGACAATGTATACCCCTCCTTAATATGTCATTACTCTCAGGAGCAGGAAACATAACTGGTTTTCATAACACTCAAAATACAGAAACCTATACAAAATGACAAGATAGAGGAATTCTCCCCCAAAAGATAGATCAAGAATAAATTACAGACACGGATTTGCTGAAAACAGATAATTACAAACAAAAAGGAAATCATTGATAATAATACAATAATAGTAGGGGACTTTAGCACCACAGTGATATCAATGTACAGATCATCCAAGCAGAAAATCAACAAAGAAACCATGGTATTGAATGACACGCTGGGTTAGAGGACTTAACAGATAAATTCAGAACATTTCATTCTAAAGCAGCAGAATACACATTCTCCTCAAGTGCACATTCTCCAGAATAGATCACATACTAGGTCACAAATCAGCCCTCAACAAGTACAAAAAGTCTGAGATCATACCATGCATATTTTCAGACCTCAATACTGTGAAGCTTGAAGTCAATCACAAGAAAAAATTGTAAAGATAACAAATACATGGAGGTTAAATAACATGGCACTAAAGAATAAATGGGCTTAACTAGGAAATTAAAGAAGAAATAAATACATGGAAACAAATGAAAATGAAAACATGATAGACCAAAACTTTCGGGATGCAGCAAAAGTGGTCATGATGTTTATAGAAGTGCTGTTAACAATAGCCAAATTATGTAATGTCAATCAACTGATAAATGGATAAAGGTGTGTGTGTGTGTGTGTGTGTGTGAGAGAGAGAGAGAGAGAGAGAGAGACATGGAATAGTACTCAGCCATAAAAAATGAAATCTTGCCATTTACAGAGAACCTAGGTGGCTCACTTGGTTAAGCGTCCAACTTCAGCTCAGGTCACGATCTTGCCATTCCCGAGTTCAAGCCCTGCATTGGGCTCTGTGCTGACAGCTCAGAGCCTAGAGCCTGTTTCAGATTCTGTGTCTCCCTCTCTCTCTGCCCCTCCCTAGCTTGAATTCTGTCTCTTTTTTTTTCTGTCTCAAAATGATAATATTTTTGTCTCAAAAAATAATATTAATAAATAAACATTTATAAAAACATAAGTCTTTCCATTTGCAATGACGTGGATGGAGCTAGAGAGTATTATCCTAAGTGAAATAAGTCAGTTAGAGGGGCGCCTGGGTGGCTTAGTCGGTAAAGCGTCCGACTTTCGCTTAGGTCATGATCTCGCGGTTCGTGGGGCCCTGCGTCGGGCTCTGTGCTGACTGCCAGCTCAGAGCCTGGAGCCTGTTTCAGAGTCTGTGACTCCCTCTCTCTCTGACCCTCCCCTGCTCACGCTGTCTCTCTCTCTCTCTCTCTCTCTCTCCTAGAAATAAATAAATCATTAAAAAAAAAAAAGAAATAAGTCAGTTAGAGAAAGGCAAATACCATATGGATTAACTCATATGTGGAATTTAAGAAACAAAACAGAGGGTCATACATGAGGGAAAAAGAGAGGCAAACCAGAAAACAGACTCTTAACTATAGAGATGAAACTAAGGGTTGCTGGAGGTGAAGTGACTGGGGGAATGTGTTAAATGGATAATTATTATTAAAGAGGACACTTCTGATGAGCAGTATGTGTTGTATGTAAGTGATCACTAAATTCTACACCTGAAACTAAAAAGAAAAAAAAACAAAAGACAAGTACCATATGATTTTATTTATATTTGGAATCTAAAAAAGAAAACAAATGAACAAACAAAAACCAATTTTTATTAAGTTAATTTTTGTTGTTAGGTTGTATATTAGGTTCTTAAGTCTGCCATAACAAAGTGCCACAAACTGAGTGGCTAAGAAAAAAAAAATCTTATAGGTCTGGAACCTAAAAGTCAAATCAAGTTTTTAGCAGCACCATACTCCTTATCAATGCTCTAGAAAGAGGACTTCTTCTTGCCCCTTCCAGCTTCTGGTAACTGCAGGTATTTGATGGCTTGTGGCAGGATAATTTCAATCTCTGCCTCCATCTTCACTTGATGTTCTCTTTGTGTCTTCTCACATAGTCTTTGCTCATTATCTGTGTTCAAATTTGCCCTTTTATGAAGAGACAAGCCATATTGGATTAGAGAACACCCTAGTAACTTTATTTTAACTTAATTACTTCTGTAAATACTATTTCCAAATAACTTCACACTCAAGGTACTGGAAGTTAGGAGTTCAACGTACCTGTTCTGAGGGATACAATACAACCCATAAGAACTTGTATTAGTTATTTTTATATTCTGAACCCTAGAAGCTGATTAGAAATATAATTTGCAAATATTTGGATTTGGATAATAATAAGTTTGGATTCTATATGTAGTCTTTTCATTTTGTTGACATTTTGGCCTTTGATACCAAAAAGTTTTCAATTTTTATTTTAATTGAAGTATAGTTGATATCCAATATTAGTTTTAGGTTTACAACATAGTGTTTTGACAATTATATGCATTATAAAATGCTCACCAAAATATGTGTAGTTATAATGTATCATCATAGAAAACCATTACAATATTAATTATATTCCCTATGCTTTACTCTTTATCCCCATGAGGTATTTATATTTATTTTATAACTAGAAGTTTGTATCTCTAAATCTCCTTTACCTATGTAACCTATGCTCCATTCCCTACATGCTACCAACCACCACTTTGTTCTCAGTATTTGTCTGGTTTTTTTTTTATTCATTTGCTTTGTTTTTAGATTCCATGTACAAGTGAAATTACATGATATTTAACTTGCTCTGTCTGACTTTTTTCACTTAGCATAATACCCTCTAGGAATATCCATGCTGTTCTGAATGACAAGATTTCATTATTTTTAATAGCTGAGTAATATTCGTGTGTGTGTGTGTGTGTGTGTGTGTATGTGTGTGTGTGTGTGTATCACATCTTTATCCATTCACCTATCAGAGAGGACACTTGGGTTGCTTCCATAATTTGGCTATTGTAAGTAATGTTGCAATAAACGTGTGTGTGCACCTTTTGAATTAGTGTTTCCATATTCTTTGAGAAAATACTGAGTAGTGTGTTTATTCGATAGTATGGTAGTTCTATTTTTAATATTTTGAAAAAACTCCTTACTGTTTTCCACAGTTGATGAACCAGTTTGCATTCCTACCAACAGTGGAAAATGATTCCTTTTTCTTTACATTCTAACTAGTACCAGTTATTCTTCTGTTTTTGATGTTAGCCATTCTGATAGGTGATGAAGTGATACCTCATTGTGGGTTTAATTTGTATTTCACTGATGATGAATGATGTTGAACATCTTTTCATATGTCTGTTGGTAATATGTATGCCTTCATTTGCAAGTATCTTCTAAAATTCAGTAGGTTGTCTTTTAGTTTTGTTCATAGTTTCCTTTGCCGTGCAGCTTTTAATTTTGATGTAGTTTCAATATTATTTTTGTTTTTGTTTCTGTTCCCTCAGGAGACATATCTAGAAAAATGTTGTTATGGCCAATTTCAGAAACATACCTACCTATGCTCTCTTCTAGGATTTATGGTTTCAGGCCTCACAGTTAGGTCTTTAATTCATTTTGAGTTTAATTTTATGGATAGTGTAAGAAACTGGTCCATTTTTATTCTTTTCATGTAGCTGTCCAGTTTTTCCAACACCATTTTTTAAAGACACTGTCTTTTTCCCACTGGATATCTGATCTCAGGGGGAAAGCTCTCAGGTTTTCCCCGTTGAGGATGATCTTAGCTGAGGACTTCTCATACATGGCTTTTATGAAGCTTACGTAAGTTCCTTCTATACCAACTTTCTCGAGTGTCTTTATTAAGAAGAGATGCTGTATTTTGTCACATGCTTTTACTGCATCTATAGACAGGATCATATGGTTTTTATCTTTTCTTTTGCTGATGTGATGGATCACATTGATTGATTTGCGAATATTGAGCCAGCCCTGTAACCCAGGAATGAATCCCACTTGATCTTCGTGGATAATTCTTTTTATGTGCCATTGGATTCGATTTGCAAGAATCTTGTTGAGGATTTTTGCACCTGTACTCATCAAGGATATTGGCCTGTAGTTCTCCTTTTTTGCTGGGTCTCTGGCTTCAGAATCAAAGTGATACTGGCTTCATAAAATGAGTCTGGAAGTTTTCCTTCGATTTCTATTTTTTGGAATAGCTAGAGAAGAATGGGTATTAATTCTGTTTTAAATGTCTGGTAGAATTCCCCAGGGAAGCCATCTGGCCCAGGGCTCTTATTTGTTGGGAGATTTTTTATAACTATTCAATTTCCTCACTTGTTATGGGTCTGTTCAGATTTTCTCTCTCTTCTCGTGTGAATTCTGGTAGTGAGTGTCTGTTTAGGAATTTGTCCATTTCTGGGGCGCCTGGGTGGCTTAGTCGGTTGGGCGTCCGACTTTCGCTTAGGTCATGATCTAGCGGTTCGTGGGTTCGGGCCCCGCGTCGGGCTCTGTGCTGACAGCCAGCTCAGAGCCTGGAGCCTGTTTCAGTCTGTGACTCCCTCTCTCTCTGGCCCTCCCCTGCTCACGCTGTCTCTCTCTCTCTCCTAGAAATAAATAAAACATTAAAAAATTTAAAAAAAATAAAATAAAATAAAGGAATTTGTCCATTTCTTCTAAAGTGTCCAATTTGTTGGCATTTAATTTTTCATACTATTCCCTGAATATTGTTTGTATTTCTGAGGGCTTGGCTTTAATAAGTCCATTTTCATTCATGATTTTGTCTATTTGAGTGCTCTCTCTTTTCTTTTTGAGAAGCCTGGCTAGAGGTTTGTCAATGTTGTTTATTTTTTCAAAAACCCAACTCTTGGTTTCATTGATCTGTTCAACTGTTTCTTTGGTTTCTATGTTGTTTATTTCTGTATTGATTTTTATTATTTCTCTTCTACTTGGTTTGGGGTGCCCTTGTTGCTCTCCCTCTAGTTCCTTTAGGTGTGCTGTTAGATTTCACACTTGCACGTTTCCTAATTTCTTGAAATAGGCCTGGAGTTCAATGTACTTTCCTCTTAGGACTGACTTTGCTGCATCCCATAGAGTTTGGATTGTTGTATTTTCATTTTCATTTGTTTCCACATATTTTTAAATTTCTTCTCTAATTGCCTGATTGGCCCATTCATTCTTTACTAGGGTGTTCCTTAACCTCCATGTGTTTGGAGGTTTTCCAGACTTCTTCCTGTGATTGATTTCAAATTTCAGAGCATTGTGATCTGAAAGTGTGCATGGTATGATCTCAATTCTTTTATATTTATTGAGGGCTGCTTTATGTCCCAGTATGTGATCTATCTTGGAGAATGTGCCATGCGCACTTGAGAAGAAAGTGAATTCCATAGCCTCAGGATGTAGAGTTCTAAATATTATCTGTCAGATCCATCTTGTCCAATGTATCATTTAAATCCATTGTGTCATTACTGATTTTCTCTCTAGTTGATCTATCCATTGCTTTAAGTGGAATATTAAAGTCCCCTGCTGTTAGCACATTCTTATTGATAAGAATTTATCGATAAGAATTTATCTTATCTATCGATAAGAATTTATAATTAATTGTTTTATATATTTAGGTGCTCCCATAGTCGGTGCATCGACATTTATAATTGTTAGCTCTTCCTGATCGATAGACTCTGTAATTATTATATAATGCCCTTCTTCATCCCCTGTTACTGTCTTTACTTTAAAGTCCAGTTTGTCTGATATAAGTGCAGCTACTTCAACTTTCCTTTGACTTCCAGTAGCATGAAAGATATTTCTCCATCACCTTACTTTCAATCTGAAGGTGTCCTCCAGTCTAAAACGAGTTTCTTGTAGACAGTAAATAGATGGAATTTGTTTTTTTAATCCATTCTGCTACACTTTGTTTTTTTATTGGGGCATTTAGTCCATTTACATTCAGTGTTATTATTGAAAACTAAGGGTTTTTGGGGTACCTGGGTGATTCAGTCAGTTGAGTGCTGAGTTCGGTTCAGGTCATGATCTTGCAGTCCGTGGGTTCATGCCCCATGTCGGGCTCTGTGCTGACATCTGAGAGCCTGGAGCCTGCTTCGGATTCTGTGTCTTCCTCTCTCTCTCTGCTCCTCCCCGACTTGCACTCTGTCTCTTTCTGTCTCTCAAAAATAAACATTTAAAATTTTTAAAAAAAGAAAAGAAAAGAAAAATAAGGTTTAGAGTCATCGTGTCCTTTGTGGGATTCATGCTTATGGTGGTGTCTCTAGTATCTTGTGTTCCTTGCAACATTTCCCTCAGAGAATCCCCTTCAGGTTTTCTTGTAGGGCTGGTTTAGTGGTGATGAATTCTTTCAATTTTTCTTTATTTTAAAGACTTTTATCTCTCCTTCTATTCTGAATGACAGGCTTGCTGCATAGAGGATTCGTGGCTGCATATTTTTTCTGTTTATCACATTGAAGATTTCCTGCCATTCCTTTCTGGCCTGCCAAGTTTCAGTTGATAGATCGGTCACCACTGTGATAGGTATCCCTTTGTATGTTAGAGCCCTTTTCTCCCTAGCTGCTTTCGGATTTCTCTCTTTGTCCTTATATTTTGCCAGTTTCACTATGATATGTCATGCAGAAGATCAATTCAAGTTACGTCTGAGGGGAGTTCTCTGTGCCTCTCAGATATCAACATCTGTTTTCTTCCCCAAATTGGGGAAGTTCTCTGCTATAATTTGTTCAAGGACTTTTTCAGCACCTTTCCCTCTCTCTTCCTCTTCTGGAATTCCTATGATATGGATATTATTCCATTTGATTGTATCGCTGAGCTCTCGAAATCTCCTTTCATGTTCCTGGATCAGTTTATCTGTCTTTTTCTCAGCTTCCTCTTTTTCTATAATTGTGTCTTCTAAATCACTTATTCTCCTTTCTCCCTCTTCAATCCATGCATTCGATGCCTCCATTTTATTTTGCATCTCATTTGTAGCATTTTTTTTAAATTCATCACAGCTATTTTTAAACTCCATAGCCTTTGTAGCAGTAGTTTCTCTGATGTCTTCCATGCCTTTTTCCAACCCAGCGATTAATTTTATGACTATTGTTCCAAATTCTTGTTCAGTTATGTTGCTTATATCTGTTGCTTATACCTGTTTACAGCAGTTCTTTGGCTGTCATTTCTTCCTGATATTTCTTTGGAGGAGAGTTCTTCCATTTCATCATTTTGGTTAGCTTTCCATCTCTTGTTAGTTTTAAAAGTTTGTTATCCACCCTGTACCTGTGAGTCTTGCTGTATTAAAGAATGCTCTTTGACTGTCCATGGCCTGTCCGTTCAGAAAGTGTTCTTTGAATGGTGTCTCTTGATCTCTCTTGTTGAGACCTTGATTATTTTATTTTCCTACTCATTGTGGTATTTGGGACTCTCCACCATGTGTACTTTGGCTTGTTTCTTGAGGTAGCCCTCGCTGCTGCCTGGTGCTGCATTTGGTCCAAGGCTGGTTGCATGGCAGGCACAGGAGCGCTGTCCCAAGGTCACGTGCTCTCAGTTGCCCCTGTGCTAACCAAACTTTCGAACGTAAGTTTTATCTTGGCCACATTGTGCCAATGAATTCGTGTTATATAAGTTGTTTCCAAAGAATAAGCTCTCCAAATCTGAGCAGTGTTGCAATATAAGATTATTTTTTTTCATTTTTATTTGTTAATAAGAAATATAAGATGAACCTTTTCATTTTTTATTTGTTAATAAGCTTAAGATGACATCTACTTGAGCAGAAATTTTAGGATTATGGCCTCCTTTTGAAATATCCATTAGAGATAAACTGTTGAAGAAAGTGGCATTTTTCCTTTGTAAAGATTTGTGTTGTAATGTGAATGTCAAAGTAAAAATTTATTATTCATTTGTTATTTTTGCTGTTTTATTCGTCTCTTCCTAGCAGTTTCCAGAACTCAATTTGTAAGATATCTGAGTGATGACAAGATTTTGAGATTTAAAGAAGTATTTCCAACTCTCAATGACAATCATAAATCACAGCAAAAGCTAAAGAAAAAGCACAGCCACAGCCTTTCTTCAGACCCAAACACATTCATGGATAACGAGCAACCCAGAAATAGAAGGCCCCAAATTTCAGTCTGTAAAAGTCATTGCAAGGACTATCATTTCCCACAAAGTTTTCAGAATTCCCAGCCTCAAATAAATCCTCTTAATCTTCTAATTTCTGAGGATTATACCTCTAAAGTATCAATACCTCTCTGCCACCCTATGTCCATGAACCCTCAGCATGCTGTACACCCCAAGACTCACAGAAATAACACATATTCTTTAGACACTGAAGCTTCTATATGTTCCAAATATTTAATGGAAATCAGTAATTCTCTTTTTCATAAATGTCTTGTAAATTCTAATGATGATTCAGACCCTGATTCTTCTTTACCTCTCCAATTTCCCTTAGGTTCTAAATATTCTCTGAACCTCAAATCTATTAGACACCACAAGACTTCTCGGAATAGCCCTTTATCTCAATCCATGGATCCTAAGCATCCTGTGGGCATTGGTTGTCCTTTACGCCAGGATGATTCTAAATATTCCTTGGACTCGACTTCTTATTTACATTGTGAAAGTTCCTCAGCTGTCCAAGATCTCATAGACTCTACTGCTATCCATACCTTTCCCATGAGTCCTCAAAATACTATGGGGTCCCATAGTACACCTGACCCAGACAATGTTCTCAATACCAGCAATGTTCCTGGCCTTGAAAATGAGGGCAAGTGTAACCTTACTGCTAAACTTGAAAATGAGGCCAATCCTGACAATGATACTAATCTGATTAGTGCTAGAAATCTCAAAGAAAAGGCCAGTGCCAGAGACAAGCCTCTTCTCAAAGATGATACAGACCATGAAGATGAGACAGACTCTGAAGAGGAAAAGGATTCTGAAGATGAAATAGACTCTGAGAATGAAAACAACAGAAAAGATAAGAAAGATCCCAAAGATAAGTCTGACCCAGATGACAGTGATTCCAAAGATAGCAATGCTGAAAATAATGCAGACACAAACAATGGATCTGATCCTGGTGGTGATGCTGACCCTACAAGTGGAGCTGATTCCAACAATGATGGTCACTCTAACAATGGAGCTTACTCCAACAGTGAACTTGACTCTAACTTTGATGATGCCACTAACAGTGATGCTAACTCCATATATAGCACTGATTCTGATGTGGAAAAACACACCATTAATTCAGACAATACCTCTGGCCTAAACAATGGTGTTGATCAGGACAGTACTGCTAATTCCAGTAACGGCACAAATACAAACTCTATCTCTGGGCTGCAGAATGGAACTGGCCTGAACTATACTTCTTGTTCCAGTAATAGTGCCGGTGCTAGAAATGCCACTGGGTCAGGCAATGACATTTGCCCCCATAATGGTAACAGCCCCAGCAATAGACCTGGCTCTAAAGTCAGTAGATCTGGCCTCCAAAACAATGCCCCTGACTTCCAAAATATCGTATCACATTCCAACAGTCTTGACTCCAGCAACAATGACTCTAGTCAGAAAATCAATGGTCCTGGCCTGTACAACAATAGCCCTGGTCCCAGTAACAATAGCCCTGGCCTTAAAATAGATCCTGGCTCTAACTATAATATCAGGCCTACTAATGCTACAAGCCACAATAATTCTATTAGTTCTAACGAGGATGCTGACTCCAAGCATGATACAAAACCCACCATTGCTACTGACCATGACTATGCAGTTGTCCCGAACTATGACTCAGACCTTGACTATGTCTCAGGATTTACCCATGCAGTAGGTTCTAGCCTTCTAGTCAACCCCAACTATATTGCCAAAAATAGTTATGCTGTCAGACACAGCTCTACAGCTACCACTGTCAATTTCATTGACACCAGCAATACAATTAGTCGTAGTGGTGCTATTAGCTCTAGCTATGCTGCTGACACCAGCTGTGCCTCAGGCATTAACCATGACCCTAGATTAATTCATGCCTTTGAATCCAACTTTGTCACCAACCCCAATTATGATGCCACAGATACTCATAATGTTCATAATTCTACCAGTACCAGCAATATTCATAATCTGTCTAAGCCTGAATTGGAAATTAGTACCAGTTCCTCCATTCCTAATATGGTTTGTGCTAACTCCCCTACTTTTGCTGCTGGCACAAACTATACTTCCACTCCCAAAAACTTGATCACCTCTGAATTTTCTGATTCATCTGTGCTTGGTATAAATTATACAATTTTTGATAACCACAAATTTGGTACCTGCCTCAAAGACTCTGCTGGCTCCATGGATTCTTCTAGCTTTAATCATGCCACTGAGTCCAAGGATGTCCTTGATGCCAAAGAAGTTGACTTTTTAAAAGATATCTCCAGGATCCAGAATCCCATTAGTATCAAGTATCCTGCCGATTTAAACTTTCACTCTAATTCAAATATTCCACTCCCGAGTTTTGACATTACAATAGAAGCTGAACCACCAGATGTTGTGAAGTTTGGTGTATCATCAGGGGCTGTGAATCTATTTTTAAGGTAAGTTTGGATTTTTGACTAGAATTTCTTCTCCATTTCCTATAATTCATAGTCACTGAAAGGACCAAAAAACTTCCTTTTAAAAATTTACTTGAATATTCACGCCATGGAAGAGAGGAGACAATATGTCCAGTGTTACTTACTTTTTGGCTCCTGTAGCCAGCAACATGGTTTTCCATTTGAAAGATACATGTGCTGTACAGCTGATAAATAGAAACATGGCCTTGATTGCACTGTGGCTGGCTCATATACTACCTCCATCAAGGGTGCAAGTATTGGTTTCATCCCTCTATTTGCAGAGAGAGTAAAGTTAAATAAACCTTAAATACCATAAATGAAGACATTTGAAACTACTATCTCCATGGGGCGCCTGGGTGGCTCAGTCAGTTGGTTAAGCGTTTGACTTCAGCTCAGGTAAGATCTCACGGTTCGTGGGTTCTTGCCATGCATCAGGCTCTGTGCTGACAGCTTGGAGCTTGGAGCCTGTTTCGGATTCTGTGTCTCCCTCTCTCTCTGCCCCTACCCCACTCATTATCTGTCTCAAAAATAAATAAACTATAAAAAAATAAAGAAAGAAACTACTATCTCCAAAAATCCTATTTTATAAAGAAACTGGAAAAAATAATTATTATGTTCTAATTTCTAATTTAAAAAATAGAATTTTAATTAGTTTGGTGACATAATTATTAAGAAGCAAAGAACCCTGAACTTTTTCTAATTTTGACTTAAAATTTTCTTTATCTTATTTCTCCTGAAAATAAGTAACATATGTTTAAATTTTATCAAATACTTCTACCACTCTGAATTGTATGTACAAACTAAGATTGCTAAAAGTTTGGAAAACTATTTTTGACATGAGCAACTAATATTCATTCTGATGAAATTTTACAAAGATACTGTCATTGAGACATAATTTAGTTGGTACATATTGAATTTTAATCTTATTAGACATGATAAACAAATACATTTAACTTGGATTGTAGTGTCTGTATGCGTAAATGTGCAACTTGAAAACATTACTTTGTTTTCTACTAGAATGTGTAATTAAATATAAATGTATATTTTTAAATAAAGCATATATTCTATAGCCAAGATGAAAGTACAAAATTGGTATCTCTCTAAAGCTTTTACTTTAATAGAGAAAAATTTTGTGATTTTTCCAGGAGGACCACCTCTCTGAAAATAGTTGTAAATATCTAGTATAGTTTTATATTTCCACCATATATAAATTTAAGGGTAATGTCCAATAATAAGTAACAAAAATAATATTGTTAAGATGCAAGGCTTAACACCAGAAAAAAAGATATTTTCCTAGTTGTTTTATACAAATGAACTTTTATAGTAGTATTAAAACTTTTGAAATATGTTTCTTTTATGACTTTTATGTTTTTGGATTAATGAGAATATGGTTATCATAAGTTTTAGTTTACTAGTTAAGGAATACTTTACAGTTTGACTCCTAGTATATAAGAATTATATTTCCTAAGTTTGGGTATGTGAAAAATAGCAAGTTAATTTTAGATGAAAATTACCTTCAAAGCAGGGCATTTTCCCTTTTCCCTCAAAATATAATGAAAATTTTCAAATAAACGGTATACACAAACAAAGCATTCTTCTCTTAGAGCTTTGGTATTTCCACATTTTCCTGGATTATCACATCCTTGTCCATATCTCCATTATATACAACTACAATGAGGATAATGGAGGTATGTTCCCCATTAAAATAATTTACGAGGGGAGAGAAGCTCACTTAAAAGGAATAATACTTTTCTACTAACCATAAATGAACCAAACAACCAACTTAACATAAGAATATATTGTCAAGGGGCACCTGGGTGGCTCAGTCGGTTAGGCGTCTGACTTCGGTTCAGGTGAGGATCTCATGGTTCGTAGGTTCAAGCCCCGCGTCGGGCTATGTGCTGACAGATAGCTCAGAGCCTGAAGCCTGTCTTCAGATTCTGTGTATCCCCCTTTCTCTGACCCTCCCCTGCTCAAGCTGTCTCTCTCTCCAAAATAAATGAAACATTAAAAAAAAGAATATAGAGTCTAGCCATTTGTACCATCTTCATTCATTATTTCACTTGGCACTTAATAATTAAGCAGTGTAGAAGGCTCAAAAATATGTTAAGTTAAAAACATAGTGCCCTTTAGAGGGAGGGGGCAAGATGGAAGGAAGTAAGGAGCTCTGTACTTGCGATCGTGCCCATACATCACACGGAAAAGATCTGAAGCCATTGGAAACCTTACAAAACCTGAGAGATTGGGAGAAAAAGGATGCAGAATCCACTGAGAAAGACTTCTAATGTGAGTGCGAACTGGGGCAGATAAAATTGGGCGTGGATCGGAGACTCCAGGGTCGGAGGCGATCCCCCTCTACCCTCTACAGGGGGTGAGAGAGGAAAAAGAGAGAGTCCGAAACAGAAAAACCTCCACTCGGGGGGAAAAACCTCCACTCAGGGCATAGAAAGACCATACTTGCCAAATACCTGCACGCCAGGTCCCCCTGCGCCAACTCATCCTGGGGGGGCTGAGTGCACAGACTGCTTCTTTGTGCTTGCTTCTGGCGGACTGGACTTCAGAATAGCGGCGCGCATGCCACCATTGTCCTCCCGGGCGGCTTGGGCCCCAGAAAGAGCCACGCGCCGACACCTAGCATCCGCGATCCTGGCTGCCTGGAACTCTGGAGGGAAGGCAAAGAGCTAAAAATTGGAAAATTTGCCTGTGAGTTCGTGTTTCGGGTGACGAGCCATAGAGGGACCTGGTTTTCCTCACTCCAGCGGGCTGCACGCACCCAGCAGGCAAGCCCCCGCCCATGCTACCAGCCCGAGCCAGAGAAGGAAGCAGCGATTCTGACTCCACCCCCAGAGCTCGGCAGGGGGCCTGGAATTGCCTGAGGGGGTTGCCTGGGAAGTTGTGTCTAAAGCAATTTCAGTGGGGCGCGCAGACTGGGATTGGGAGATTAAGACTGGCCTGAGTTGAAGAGTGCAACCAGCTTTGGCTGCGCCGGGGTACGGGGAGTTTATACGCCCAAAAAAGCGAGGTGCAGCGCTTGGTTCAAAAAGGGACTGGAGCACCGTCACTCTCCTCCCCACAACCGCCAAGGCAGAACTCCCGCCTGAGGCATTGGATCACACCACGCCCATCCCTGCTGGAGAGCTGCCCTCCTACCCCTTTTTTTTTCTTTTTTTCTTCTTCTTTCACTTTTCTCCCCAGAACACTGACCTGATTAACTCTGGTCGCCGGCTTGCTTAAACAATCAAAATGAGTCCATTCTGTAGATGAAACTCTACACCTACCGACATTTTCATCTCTTTCTCTTAAGAGTAATTAGACTATATAGTTTCTCTGGATAACACCAGCATCCTTCTCTCACGTATCCAACCATATTCTACCCTTTACCTCTTTAAAAAAAGCTTCTTATCCCTTCTGCCTGTTCATTCTATTTCCAATTTTGCCTCATCTCCGCCCTGTCTTCTCTCTATTTCTCTATGCTCTTCAACCAGCACTGAATATACATGGCTATTTAACTGTAGCTGGGAAATCCGGTTATATGACTTAAACCATTCTTTGTCCATCGGTTTTCTTCTTTTTTCCCTTTCTTTTCACCTTTTTGACCCTTTTATGTATTTCATACTCCCAATTATTCGCCCTCCCTCCTCTGTCTTTTCTCTTACCTTTTTCGTTTTCCCACTCACTTTGCATGTTAGTTGAATTAGCCTGTGCGTTTGTGTGCTCCTGCACCCTGTGTGTTTGTCTGTCTGTTTTCTTTTCCAGGGCTACCTCAAGAAACAAGCCAGAGTACACAGGTGGAGAGTCCCAAATATCACTACGAATAGGAAAATAAAATAACCAAGATGCCAACACGAGAGACCAAGAGATACCATTCAAAAAACACTCTCTGAAAGGATAGGCCCTGGACAAAGAGTCTTCCTGGATACAGCAGCACTCATAGACACAGAGAGCATTAACAGGTCTTTAAAACCAACAAGACCTGAAAACTAACTAAAATAATGAAACGAAAGAGCTCTCCTCCAAAGAAACTCCAAGAAGAAATGACAGCTAATGAACTGCTCAAAACAGATATCAGCAGCAAAACTGAACAAGATTTTAGAATAATAATGGTAAAATTAATACCTGGGCTTGAAAAAAACAGGGGACATCAAAGAAACTATGGCTACAGACAGAATGGAAAATAAAAATAGGCATGAAGAATTTAAAAAGGCGATAAATGAGATACATAATAAATTAGAGGCCTCCAATGCACGGATTGAAGACGCAGAAAGGAGAAAGCTGATTTAGAAGACACCACTATAGAAAAACAAGAAGCTGACCAAAAAAGAGACAAACATCCAGGAACAGGAAAGAAGAAATGGAGAGCTCAGCAATACGGTCAAACGCAACCATATCCATATCACAGGAATCCCAGAAGAGGAAGAGAGGGAAAATTGCTGAAGGAGTCCTGGAACAAATTATAGCAGAGAACTTCCCCAACCTGGGGAAGGAAGTAAATGTTGAAATACAAGAGGTTCAGAGGACTCTCCTCAGATGGAACTTGAATCGATCTTCTGAACGGCATATCCTAGCAAAAATGGCAAAATACAAGGACAAGGAGAGAATTTTGAAAGCAGCTAGAGAGAAAAGGGCCCCAAGATACAAAGGGAAACCTATCAGAGTGGTGACAGACCTATCTACTGAAACTTGGCAGGCCAGAAAGGAATGACAGGAGATCTTCAATGTGATGAACAGTAAAAATATGCTGGCAAGAATCCTCTATCCAGCAAGCCTGTCATTCAAAATAGAAGGAGAGATAAAAACCTTTCCAAATAAACAGAAATGGAAAGAATTTGTCACCACGAAGCCAGCCCTACAAGAAATCCTGAGGGGGATGCTCTGAAGGAAAGGTTGCAAGGAACAAAGATACCGGAGACACCACCACAAACATGAACCCTACAAAAGATACAAAGACTCTAAACCCACCTATTTCAATAATAACACTGAAT